TAGCTTTTTAGACCATATTTTAATGCTTCTATAACACGATTTCAGTTTTATCAGAGTACTCATTGTGGATATATATATATTTTAAAATGTGACTTTATATTTTGATTTATGTCTCTAGCAAGGGAACCATAGTTTAAAGAATGAATGGACTATGCAATATAAATTAACTGAATATTTTAAATGGATATTGTGTCCAGATTAAAACACAGCATTTAAGCATTATTTGCTATTTTTGAGCTTCTTATAGAAATTTTTCAGAGTATCATAATTTTAGACACTGAATCTTCCAGATATATTTTATGTATTTAAAATTTTTAGCTCCTGATTGCCTCTGAATCTAGAATGACATATGGTTATGTGTTGCTCAACAAAGGGGGTATGTTCTAAGCTATGCATCATCAGACAATTCTGTCACTGTGCGGATAGCACAGAGTCTGTCTTTACAAACGTAGCTCGTACAGCAAGCACTTCATGCACCTGTCATGTGGCAGCTACCATTGCATATTCAGTAGGGTGTAGACAGATGTCATTATGCGGTGCAGCACTGTATTTTGTATTTGCTAACACTGTTAGTCCTCTCTCCACTGAAATACATGTATACAAATTTATGTATGTCACCTGCTTTGATTCTGCTGTTGAATTACTTAGATGGCACAAGTATTTCAAAGTGCATTATGGAATTTTAAGGCTGTATTTATGACAGATAGTAACTTAAAATAAAGCTAACCACAGGCAAAATTATTTTCAAGACCTGGTAAATTTCAGTTACAAATATGGAAGTATGAACATACACTTCAATGTGAAGATTCACATTAAGGCATATATGCATCTTGCTTATAAAACTAAAATCTAAGATGACTTTTAGTATTTTTTTTCTACTTCAAAAAATACCTCAATTGGAGTTTATTTAGGCCACTAATTTCCTAATAATTAAACATTTCAAAAAGCGCATTTCAGGAACTATTGTGTGAATTAACAAAGTTCAGGGAAGAGTGCTAAGGCTCTGCACCTGACAGTGGGTTCTTCTCTCCCTCCTCTCTCTTTTTGTGGGAGAAGTAGGTAGAACAGCAGAGTTGTGAAGAAAAATGAACCCAAGGATAGACACCAGGGTCTGGAAACACTCACCAGTCTATATGTATTTTTACCAGAGCACTGGGTCATACATTGGGGTGGCAGGATGGAAGAGCCTTAAAGGGCCATAGGATTTAAGGGATGATTTGGTGTACATAGCAACACATTTCCTCACAGGTACTAATGAATGTTAACACTACAGTAGAGAAAGCACAGCTGAAGATATGTTGAAGCAAACCTGACTGGTGTTTAATTACATTTGATTTTTTTCCTGTTTGTTCTCCTCTTAAGAGACAGCAGCACCTATCAATAGAAGATCAGTGCGACAGCAAAAAGATGCCAAAGTTTAAGTCTTTTCCTTCTTTCAGCACACACACCGAAATCCCCAGGGAACTGCTGGACTCCATTTTGTGTCATCCCACCAAGTCCCATACAATCTGATTTAATTTTTCTATGGCTTGAGTTTGTGATTTTGTTTACCAGCTATCGTTTCTGTTTTTCAGAATGGCATAATTAAGTTCCTTGGGGAATAACACACACGAACACGGGAAGCATTTCCAAACTGTGGCAGGCATCACCAGCTTGGCTGGAGTGTTATTTATACCTCAGGTTTTAAAATCAGGCAATCCCAAAATTGATTCATCTTTCTCACATTATCTGAGAGATATCACATCACATTTTATTTTTATTGGAAAAAAGATTTTTTTAAGGTCTGGTAGGATATTCATTCGGATAATCAAGCATGGAGGAAATTATCCTTCAAAATAGACTTTTGCTAAAATTACGCACTGCTGTACAATCTTTCAGTTTGTCCAAAAAAAGTCTCAAATGCATTGTTTCTATGATCCCATTTCCTGAAAGTGCATTACAAATTTTAGTACAAATATCTTGTAAAAACCAAATTTAAAAGCTTATAGAAGTGTTTATGCAAGGTGACAAAAGTATATCCAAGATGGTCTTCACTGACGCATGGTTAGTGCTGGCAGTTAAAATGACCTTGATGTCCATTCGACAGATGTGCAAGTGTGTTGTCTTACAATGGACTATGTACTAAGTTACAAAAGAATGAGGTAACTCTATTAAGCTCTGATGGAAAGTATCTACCAAAATATAATAAAATGAAAAGGAGTCACAGCACAGTAAGAATATTATTATTCTATTGGTATAAAAATGACACATATATTAACACATATGCATACATACTTATTCGTATATTTGTAGAAATTGTCTAGAAGGACATATACCAAACCTTTAGCAGTGTTATACCCCTGAAAAATGAGGGGTATGGTAAACGGAGAACTTTGCATTCAATAATTCTATATGGTTTGACTTTTAAAGGAATATATATTAAATTTACAATAAAAACTTATACAAATGATGATCCTCGGATAGATATTTATGTTAGGTGCACACTTCTTCCTTAAAATAGTTTTTAGAATTTATCCCAAAAGTTTATTACTATTTTTTATCATCAAAGTTGGCACTGATACATAAATAATCCTTTTCATTTTCTTCTCTGTTTTTTAAGATCCTGGTAGGACTAAGTAAAAAAAAAAAATCACAAATAATTAAGTTACCAGCAAGGAAAGGCTTAATAGAGCAACCTTAAGGAGAGAAACATGCATGCATTATTTTAAAAATCTATGCATAGAAAGATGAAAGTCTGGTGCAGCCCAGTGCACACTTTTGAAGCAATGATGAACAGCCTTCACTGATAACAGACATCACTGTACCTGGGAGAGGGGAAAGCTTTCCAAATAGAAAAATAACTCTAAAAGATAAATTATTTAAAGAAAGGAATACAAATCCCTGAGTAAGCCAGACAACAGATATAAAAATCCAAGAGAACAGATGACTTAAGACCAGATAACATCTAAGTCTGCCAGTTGATGTGTATGCATATGGCGAATGTACTTGTATGCATGAGACATAGGTGGAGATTTGTGTCCTACATGCAGGTATGTTAGATTTAGAAGTTAGCCATACATTGCCAGATAAATGCTTAAGTCTAGGATTGATTAATTTGGAAAAATCAAGCATTTTTATGGTAGAAATCCTCATTGTTTAGATTTTAATACTAAAGTTCTTAAAATAGGCACTCAGGAATGAATGGACGAGTAAATGAAAGATGGAGTTGTGAAACTAGAGCATCAGATTTTCTCGTGTCATGTTATGCTTTCTGCTATTCCAGGAACAGGGATGCCAAACTTCTCCTAGCTTGAAATAGACAACTAGTACAGAAGCTATAGAAGAGCTACTTTGTTGTTAACTCAAGTGAATATATCATGGTTTCACAAAACTGTATCATACACTCTTCAGGTCAAACAAAAAATGATAAAACATTACATAATCTATTCCAACTAAAGTCAGACAAGGATGCTGGTAAAGATATGCTTTGTCTATGGCATGCAGCTAAATTTTGAAGAAAACTGGAAATTAAGCCTTCTTAGGGGCCTTTTCCTCCTTTGTGCTGGTGACATTTCTGATGAAAACCAAAGAATCACAGTTCAACAATTATGTGTCCTTTCTTAGTTGAAAACAATTCTCAGGTTAGAAAAAATTCCGGAGACATTTTCTGCATTGTGTTTGTTTTCGCCTCCAAAAGCAGTTTATATTGTAGATAAACCTAGGGACAAGGAAGTTTTATTTATTTATTTCAAATTACCCCTCCATAGGAAGATAGGATTTATGTGTTTGAAAAGTAAGCCTAAGACAAAACCTTAAAAATTAGTAATTGCTTTTCTGAACAGTTTTGGGACAAATCAAAGGAAAAAAGAGGAAGAAAAGGTGGTATATTAAATGACATAAAAACCTTGACTTATAGCAGAATTCTCTGTAATTACAAGTTGGTTAACACATTGGCAGAATAGGCAATTTTTAAAGGCTTGAGTAGTTCCCTTTACTGCAATCTTGTTCTTTGTTTTAAATGATCCCTTGTGAAGAACTATTTTATCCATAAAGTGAATCACACCCAACAAGCACAGAGTCAGCTTTTGGGTCTGGAGAATTTCACAAAAGCAAGCTTTGTCAATCTACAAAGCATATCCCTTGGGGGACGGGGCAAAAGGAGACTGCACAAGTTTCTCTCTCGTGTATGTTTCTGTGGGGGGTGTGTGACAAAAAAAAAGACAGCAAGAAACTGCATGTAGTGTGTGTGACAATAAGACACAGCAAGAAATAGAAACGGTGAATAACATCATGATAGCCTGTTGTCTACATTGACTTTTAATTCGGTACATTACCAAAGTATGCCCACAAAGGAACCATCATCTTCAAATAGGTCTATGAAAACGTGGAAAAATAGTGTAGAGGCAAGGAAGTAGATAAATACGGGGCTACTGGGTCTACTTTTAATATATATTAATATACACACATATTCACACCCCTACACATATACACTTTAGTAACTCATGATTCTTCTCATTAATTTAGTTTCATTAGTTCCCTTTTGGGCATTGGGATTTTTTTTTTTTTTTTTTAGCAATGATGGCATCTGAAGTATAAAAGAATTATACTGCTTGGGCCACAGGTGAATACAGCTGCATTAGGTGAGCTTTTATCTTCTTCAAGTGGCCGAATGTTTCCCAGTACAGGTAGGACTTGAGCTGTTCACACCAAGTCTCCCAGAATGTCCTGGAGGCGGGGGCAAGGGGCAGAGCCCACCCATGCAATGCTCTGCAGAAGCCTGCTCAGAACAATTCTGGGCATAACTGGTTCTCAATGAAAACGTTTTCTTCCAAGAACTATGAAAATCCAAGTTATGACGTAGATGTTTGTAGTTTATGAAAGTGACCATTTTTTAAAAGCAGCAATTTGTTTAGGGAAAGAACAGGATACCAGGCTGGGAGCGCACCATAGCTAGAGGCCTTGTGGCTTGCAGGGGACCAGAGGAGATGGCAGAGGGCTGCTCTCAGTGTTTTCCAGCTGTGACTCACAGGTGGCTGTACCATTCTGCAGTGCTCTTGCCCGGCCCGACGCAGCTGAGGGAAGCTTTGCGCTTCACCAGTGCATACCTGTCCGTGACCGCTTTCTCTGTTTTTTACAAAGGCAATAGATAGGAAATACAAAAAGACCTAGGGATGAAAAGGGGAAAAGGTAAAGTGAATTAGGAGGACAGGCATTTCACTTTGTATTTTCACAGGTTTTCATTGTTCAGTGATACATACACGTGGAAGAAGGAAAGATAAATATGTTATGAGATATATTAAGTTGGTAGAAAATGCCTACTGTGAAAGAAAGTATTCGTAGCTTTCAATTTTTCTGTGTACCAAAATAAACACTCATAATTCATTCTCCACAAACTTTTTGAGGTTCTCACACAAATTCATGACTCTGCCCCCACAGTGAATTATAACCTAGAGTAGGGAACAACAATCCACATTTTAACCAGCTCTGTAGGAGAGTCTATAACATGAATCTAAGAACTATCATAAATCATATATGTTAGTACAGTTATATGAATGAAAGTATTCAAATAGGTTTTCCACTTGCCAGTGCTCAAGTACAAGTTGACTGGATGTTCCTATTCATATTGACATCATTTTCTTTTTAATCACCAATGTACTAGAATCTCTTTTTTGTTGTTGCTTAAAGTTGAATCCAGAACTGAAAACTTTGAACATGGTAGATTTGAATCTCATTCCTTTCTTTCACTAGAATACTAGCTGTGTCATGCCGGTATCAAAAGCAAGTAATAATGCTTCATCAGATATGAACCAAAGTGGGCACAGACTGAAAAACAGTCATGCAAATATATCCTGAAGGGAAAAATGCTCTTTTAAACTTGTGAGTCACACATTAATTAGTTATGCAGAGCATGCAAGAAGCACAAATCACATCCACTTATAATCAGCTCACATTATTACATTTACAGTCCTGGTGTTTCCATGGCCCTCAGTGAAGGGGAATCTCAAATACATGGAATGTTTCTTACCGATTACAACTGCTATGGCCCCTAGTGCTAATCCCAACACCAGGATTAGAGGCGCAATGAATAATTTTCCAGCTGGAAAACAAAGGTAAAAATATTTAGAAAGGTCTCAAAATGAATTTGTTAAACAATTACTAAAATGCTTTTAAAATACCCTGGCATATGCTTTAAACTTTTTTTCAAGTCCGATTATAAGTAAGGCGATATTTCTCTAAGAGATCTATCAGGTACAGAATAGACGGTTGGAGGTTCAGTAACTTGAGTGAAGCCATAGGGACATGCTTCTGACATCTTACAGGTCATCTGCACGTCATAACCAGACAAACCAGAGGGGAATGGGCTCACTGTATCCTTTTAGAAACAACTGTCCTTTTGCTTTTATTTGGGTAGCTTCTACTTCCAACTTTCAAGATACTAAGAGATTAAAAAAAAAAAGGAGTGATACACTCTGTGTTTGCAGGAGAAAATGGAGAGCTGGTAGGATTCCTACAGAGGCTTCTGCCTAAGTTCCTATCTAGATAAACAGTTTATTTATTTCTTGGGTTGAAAGAAAACGAATGAACATGTAGTAAAAGGTATGCATCAAAATAGGACCTTTTAAGACTACAGTTTACGAAAAACAAACAAAAAATGTACAAAATGTTGAAGGTCAGCCAACTGAGTCATTTTAACCAATGTATTTCAGATTTGTATTTGAAAGGCAGAGAGGCACTGAGGGCTAGAGACAGAACTCTTCCATCTGCTGGTTCACTCTCCAAACAGAGCAGCCAGGGCTCAGCCAGACATGCACCAGGACCTAGGGACTCAATCCTGGTTTGATGTGTGGGTAGCAGGAACCCAATTACTTAATCCATTACCTGTTACTTCTCAGGGTGCACATTAATAGGCAGAAGGATTGGAAACAGAGCGAGGACTTGGGCCCAGACACGCTGGCAGCATACTTTGCCAAACAGCATTCTAACCTCTATGCCAGAAACACATCCCTCTCTGAACAAATTTTAAAAATCAAACATTTATGGGCCCGGCGCGGTGGCGCAAGTGGTTAAAGGTCCTCGCCTTGCATGCCCGGGATCCCATATGGGCGCCGGTTCTAATCCCGGCAGCCCCGCTTCCCTTCCAGCTCCCTGCCTGTGGCCTGGGAAAGCAGTCGAGGACGGCCCAAAGCTTTGGGACCCAGCACCCGCGTGGGAGACCTGGAAGAGGCTCCTGGCTTCGGACTGGCATAGTATCGGCCCCTTGCGCTCACTTGGGGAGTGAATCATCGGACGGAAGATCTTCCTCTCTGTCTCTCCTCTCTGTATATCCGCCTTTCCAATGAAAAAATAATAAAAATAAATAAAAAAATCAAACATTTATTACATTTATTTATTCTTTATTACAATTATTTATTCTTAGCTTTCTTAAGGCTAAATGGTGGTAAGACTGCCAAAGGCATTCGCCAGCATTCTCCTTTCCAAATATATGACTGAGCAGTGATACTTATAAACCACATGTAAACAAAGCACAGATGTTAACAAATGCTTTAGTAAAGTCTTAGGGGGAAAAAAAGGTGTGAATCTTCAAGACAATGTTTCATTTTCATCAGTTGGGAAGGCACAGTGACAGAGACAGAAAAGAAAAAGACTGATTTTCCATCTGCTAGTTGTTCACTCCCCAAATATTTACAATTGCAAGGGTCAGACCAGGAGACAGGAGGTTGGAACTCCATCAGGGTCTCCCATCTGAATGCCAGGTGTCCAAGCACTTGAGTTGTTGTCTATTGCCTCCTAGGATGCTTCAAGAGGAAGCTGGATCAGAAGCAGATTAGCTGGGACTTCCACCAGCATTCCAATACGGGATTTGGGAGTCCCAAACTCCAAGCAGGAGCTTAACCCACTGCACCACAATGCCTGCCCTTAAGTATACTCGTAACTCTATGTTTAAAAATTTAAAACAAAGAAGATTACATATATTTCTCAACCATGCACATGGGTCAGTTTTTCCCATGCACATTTCTTTTTTAAACAGTGATTACCACATTTTCATTATGGTAATGAAACATGTTTGTGAAGTGACAATGCTGAGATTTTCTCTCCCTCAAATATCACAGAACTCAAGAATTTACATAGAGGGACATTTCAGTTTGTAGAAAATGGGACTAAAAGATAAATTTATATTGGTGCAAAAAAACCTTTAATTTCATTCCATGGATTTTTATAATGTGTATCTTCCATGAACTTTTGAAGTACCCTACTAAGATCTTCCTCTTCATTAGGAAGCTACACACACACAGGAGGCAGAGCCTTAATCTGATTCACCATGTGGCACCAGCATCCTGTATGAGTGCCAATTTGGGTCCCGATGGCTCCACAACCCATTCAGCTCCCTGCTGGTGGCTGGGAAGGCAGTGGAGGATGGCCAAGTGCTTGGATCCCTGCACCTACGTCGGAGACCCAGGGAAAGACTGTCTCCTGGCACCGGACCGGCAACTTCTGGCTGCTGCAGAAATTCTGGGGAGTGAATGAGCAGAAGGAAGATCCCTCACCGTGTGTCTCTTTTTCTCTCTCTGTTGTAATGTTTCCAAGTAAAAATAATTCCTTTAAAAAATATTCAAAAAGGGTGGGTCTCAGGACGGGGCGTCTCATGCCTGGATCCCGGACGGCCGCCATGGGCACATGGTGAGCCGTGTCCGGCCTGCTGGGTTCCAGAGGCTGCTTCCTTTGGGGTGAGTAGACCCGAGGGGGAAGGCCTCTGGGACTGGGCAGGTCCGGCACCCACCCGCCGCCCTCATTGGGTGGTGAAGGGGATTTGTGAGGGGCGCGACCTTGGGCCTGGGAATTTAAACCTCCAGCAGCCTCCCGGCAGCTGGTGGGTCTCAGGACGGGGCGTCTCATGCCTGGATCCCGGACGGCCACCATGGGCACATGGTGAGCCGTGTCCGGGCGGCCAGTCCGCCATTGGTGCCAGGCTCTGCCTGCTGGCTGCCCGGCTGGGGAGCTCTGGGGATTTGGTTCTTTGAGTCGCTGCTTAATTAGCTCCAGGTTGAACCCATTGTGATTCTCGGACCTGAAACAGGCAGTAACTCTTCCTTTGTAAAATTTGTAATCACTAATAATGCTGGGCACCAAATAACAGTCCATGCAGAAGCCTGGGCTTGGGGCTTGTCCTGCAAAAGTAGCTCCAACGGCTGGCTAATGTGTCAACTGGTAGGGAACAGAGTAGATCATGTACGAATGAGCAAACCTTAGCCCACAAGTAAAACTAGAAACCAGGAGGGAGCAAAGGTCATGCCAAGCTAGGCTCTTGTACCTACTGGTCTGAGGGAGCTAGGGACACTAAGCCACAGTGTCTAAGGCAGAGGTTGGGACAGGTGAGGAGCTGTGCCAAGCTGAGTCAGAGCATCCATTGACGGGCATGTGATCTATGGCTGGGAACAGACCCGGTTGGGGAGCAAAGGGGACAACCCTAGCTGGGCTGAGGTTCCCACAAAGAGGTGCGTGGCCTGGAAGGGGGGCTGCGTTCTGATCTGGATACAGTTGTAGTCTCCCTTGGCACAAGTGTGGACTGGGATTGGATGCACTGAACCGGGCTGGACCCTGACTCCCCCTGGTGTTCTGGAGGACCAGGGCAGATGTGTGATAGACTAGGCAAGGTCTCAAACCCCTACTGAGCCATGTGTGAGCCATACGTAGGTATGGACAAACCATGGCTGGGCTGGAACATCCAACATCAAGAACCAGATTGGGTGGAAGGCCAGTCAGGAAAAGCCACAGTTCCTGCTATGACAGGAGGTGGACTGAGTAGGGTTGGCTCATGGACCCACTGGTAAGCGTGTAACCTGGCATTGGGAGAGGTTCTGATGGAGGAGCCTGGGCAACTCCTCTGGCAGGACACAGACCCGGCAGGTAAGCGCAAGAAACATGATAGGAAACAGCCCAGAAAAGGCCATGGAAAGCTACCCACTGGCATACACTTGGCAGACGTGGGGGCAAGACCAGGCTGAATCTGTCCACGTCATTCATTGGCAAATCCAAGCACCAGTGTGGGTCGACCCAGGTTCGGTCGCGACAAAGACTAGTGCACAATATGGAATGCCGAGGTGAGGTTGCCTGTACTGGAGGGGACCACAGCGTCCAACCAGCCTGAGAACAAGAAAGGAAGTAGGCAGAGCCAGCAGGTGAATAAGGGAGGGTTCCTTTGCAGGATAGCTACTTCCGCAAGAGAGCATGGGCTGGGATGGGGGCAGACCAGACTAGGCAGAGCTACCACACCTGTGTGCCTCATGTGGACTAGATCAGGGAAAAGCTGGGCTCGGCGGATTATTCCTACTGGTGCAAACAGAATTAAAGTGGGCGAGGTTTGTTTGGGCAGCATCAATTGGAATCTGGGAGTGGGAGAGGCCTGGGAGGGTAATAGTGGGCTCATCCCTCTTGGGTTACCACTTCCACGGGAGGACATAAAACTAAACAGCGGCTGGGGTGGAATGGGGTGTGGGACAGACTGGATTACTGCTACACTTACTGGCAAACCAGGGTAGGGGCGGTCCTGGTGGGGGTTATTGTGGGTCGCTCCAACTAGGCTGCAGGTCCCACTGGTTTAGGTGAAGGCCAAGTATGTGCTGGGCAGAACCAGGCTGGACTGCAACACCCATTGGTTCCAGTGGAAGTCGGGAGTGAAAATAGAACCAACCCAGCAATTGCAACCACCAGCTGATTGGGGCGATGGACGGTGCCAGGCCCTGTACTTGTTAGCACATACAAGAAGTTTCTTTGGAGATCTTCCTAATCTAAATGCTGGACTCAGAACCCTAACGAAGAAAAGAGAGAAGACAGAACAGGTCAACCAACCATCTCAGCTATGATGGACTATGTCAATCAGTGGATTTTTCAAAGACCTCATAGTGCTTGGAGTGGCAAGATTGACAGCGATTCATAACTGTTGCAATATCAAAACCACTGGAACAAGAACCTCAGAGCATGCCCTACATCCGGGACCTGGGGAGGGTGGGAAATTGGGTGGGCCTTCTCCCTTAATACCCCCCTTTTAAACATGAAGGTAACAATATGGAAAACATACTAGTATTATCCACTTTCCTGTAGCCCTTGAACCTTCTTACTCTAACTATGTATGTAAAGAATGTCAAAATAAATTTTATTAATAAAAAAAAAATAAAGAGAAAAAAATATTCAAAAAAAAAAAAAAAGAGAGAGGATTTGGTGCAATAGTCTAGTGGCTGAGGTCCTCGCCTTGCATGCACTGGGATCCTATGTGGCCACCGCTTCATGTCCCAGTTGTTCCACTTCCCATCCAGCCTCCTGCTTGCAGCCTGGGAAAGCAGTAGAGGATGGTCCAAAGCCTTGGGACCCTGCACCCACATGGGAGATGTGAAGGAGGCTCGTTTCTACTGGCTTTGGATTGGCTTAGCTCTGGCGCTTGCGGCTGCTTGGGGAGTGAACCAGCAGATGGAGGATCTTTCTTTCTGTTTCTCCTTTCCCCTGTAGATTTGACTTTCCAATGAAAATAAATAATCTTTTTTAAAGAATAGAATTTCATGCAAAAGTAGGTCAGGGGATGATGAAGACATTAAAAACTATCATACACATGTGAGAAATATGACTTGAGAAAGAAATATTGGAGTTCTGGACCTACTGCCTATGGTACCAGCATCCCATACATGTGCCAGTTAGAATCCTGTTCCACCCAGGATTCAGCTGCCTGCTTGTAGCCTGGGGAAGCAGCAGAGGATGGCTCAAATGCCTGCACTCATGTCAGAGAGCAGGAAGAAGCTGCTGGATTCGGATCTACTCAGCTCAGGAGTGAACCAGTGCATAGAAGATCTCTGTATCTCTTTCTCTTTGTGTCTGACTCTTATTCTCCCTGCAATTCTGTCTTCCAAATAAAGAGAAAAATAAATCATTCTTTAAAAAAAGAAACATTGGAATTCTGTATGGCATAAAAGAAAGGAAGAAATCTCATAGTGGAGTAGGGAGCTACTAGAATAAGAACTATGAGGTGCCAAAAATATTCTCACCCAGAAGCAGTGGTACTGGGCTAGAGTAATTAGATTAGGAGCAGATATCTGTGTGTATGGCTGAATATTTGTGTGTGTGTGCTTGCAGAGGGAAAGCTTGTGTTTGAAGCTGTTGTTCAGGAAGATAAGAACAAAGAGTCAATCCATGAAAACATTTATATTCAGGTAATTAAACTTGGGTTCTTACGTAATGATAACATTTAATACTTGTTCCACCAACAATTAGTCATTGATTCTTAAGATAATAGAAAAAATATTTATACCATGACATCAATTATACAGATAACACAGAACCACCCCAAAGGGCTCTGAAATACGCAGCTATGTCCTTTTTTCCCTGTCTTTTTAGATAATGTTCCCCTTATTATGGTATGGCTACCTTCTATAAATGAAGGACATGTATAGGACAAGCAGGTGAATATTGTTTGAAAGTAAGTGCGATATTGAATGTCAAGAACCTTTCCTAGCGCTTCAGAATTTTAAAGAAGCTAATGACTTCAGATTTGTTCAATGTAATTAATAATTTGCTTTTCAAATGCTTATATCAGCAGTGTCCCATTAAAAAAGTTAAGTTTTCAATTTTAATTTCAAAGGGAGAGATAATATTGTCCTGCCTGGAGTTGGAGTCTCCACTGCAGTACCCGGCACATAACAGGGAATTTTCCCAGCTGCTGTAATTCTACGTTGTATTGTCAGTATTCAATTCCCAGGGAAGATTCCTGAAGATATGGCAAATACTCACCACAGACTGACCCCCTCACTAATCTCCTTAAATGAGGTCTTTCTGGGAGGTAGCGGTATTTGCATCCAAATATACTGAGGTTTGATGTGTGGTCTCCAAAGAAACGGAGCTGGCGGTATCTTTCACCACATCGATAACAAAAATTAGTGTTACACTGTGAACAGGTCATGTGGTCACATCCTTCAGTTCTCTGGATGTGGATCTGCATCAGCAACAGAGAGAAAGAGAAGAAAGGGTCACTTACGTTGTTAAAAACTAAAATCTGGCAAATTTTATGGAACAACGCATATATGTTTCACCAAAAAAAACCACCAAAACCAAAACAAAAAAAAAAATACAGAGCATTCCCAAAGATATTAATTTGCTCGTAATTACACCCTCCAGGATTTGATTTTTTCCCAAATATTTTCCTGTGGGCAAAGCTTAACAACATTTCAGGCACTCAAGCTGTTGACTTATTTTGGCCAACAAATGAACACACACAGTCCAGCACATGTAACTCACTAGCTATGAGGTAATATAGAATGCTTTGAAATTCTATTTTATGTATGCAATTAGCAGCAAGAGCAAGGAGACCCGAGGGAATAATGAGAAATGAAGAAAGTAAGTGAATATGGCTCAAGGAACAGAAAATCTTTCATGGCTGAAGGAAATGACAACAGATTTGTCTATTTGTATATCATTTTTATTTCCAACTCTAATATCATTTGTAAATATCCTGTGTATAGGACTGTTTGTCAACATTATGTGTGCCTTTCTATGTTGTTGAGGTTATATGTAAATACAGCTTCACCTGTAATATATAGCAAGGTTTCCATTCCTGGGCAGTCTGCCAGACACCCGATTAGTAACTGCCACAGCACCGAGGCCCTGTTACTCTTTGGCCTGTAACTGGCGGCTTGACTCAGCATGCCAGCAGACACGGTAAAAGCTGAGGCTGTTTTTCACGTATAGCTTTTGTTTGATAGGTGGACAATCACGGAAGAGAATTTAAGCCGACTGGATTTAACATTATTTCATAAAAAGAAAAATAGTTGGGTTATACAGTACAATTCTTAGATGACTGATAACAGGATTATTTTTTAAAAGTTTTCCTATTTCATTACAGGGTGGTTCAGTATTGCTGAACCACAATTTCATTCATTCAAATACTCAACATTTGTGAGTTTTCTAATTTGGATTTTTATTCGAAGTGTTTCTAATATCACTTTGCTTACTGTAAGGTTCTATCTATGACTCTTCTTTGGGATGACAGTCAATGAATGTTGTAATGCAAATGGAAACCTGAGAATGAACTTGTGACTCAAACCCTCGAGGAATGGTTTGAAACTTCTTAGTTACATCATGGCCACAGTTCACAACTTTAGTTGTTTCATCTGAGATGGTGGTCTCCTTCCCCTAATAGGCAGCATAGTTCTCTGAAGTTTGGAAGTGCGGTAATTCAGTTACAAATGCATTTTTAAAAGCTGTCAATGATGTGGAAATGGAACAAGTTTACCCAGGAGAAAGGGAAGACCCCTGTAAAAACAGAGATGAAAACAAAAATTTCAGTTGACAATCTAACTTTATTTTGTTGTTTTGAGAATAGAATTATTTGAAGTTGCCGGTAGATAAAATGTGTAGTGATTAGATAAAAAAATCTTAAACTGTGATTTAAAGGCCAATATGAATTGTTACATGACTTATAAAGTGGCTTGTAAAATAATAATAGATATTAATTCAGGTATATGTCAAGCAATCAACCAATCAAATTACTTTCCAACCTACCTATTTATCTATCAGTCATTTAGAATCTATCTACCTTTCAAGAGGGAGGAATAATTAAGTAAAGAGTGGCAAATTAGAGGCAAGTGTTTAATGCATAGATAAATGAATCAACTGAAGAAAGACAAGTTGTTAACTGACAGAATATTAGCTACTCACAATAACTCAACTGTAGGTTAAATACCTATTCCTTCCAAATGGCTGACTGATGACTGGCAGATAAGCTGCAGCCCCATCAGGAGATTGAAGGGACAAGGATGTCTATTTAGTATGCTCTTAATTCTAGCTCTACCAGCTATTTAAAAATTTTTTGAAGATTTATTTTTACTGGACAGGCAGATCTGATATACAGAGAGAAGGACAGGCACATCTTCCAGCAGCAGGTTGCCTCTCCAGGTGGCTGCCAACAGCTGGAGATGAGCCCAGTCTGAATCCAGGAGCCAGGAGCTTCTTCCAGCTTGGGACATAGGTGTAGGGTCCAAAGCTTTGGGCCATCCTATACTGCTTTCCCAGGCCACAAGCAGGGAGCTGGATGTAAAGTGGAACAACCAGCACACGAATGAATACCCATATGGGAACCTGGCATTTGCAGTATAATAGTTTAGCATCGCACAGGGCCATCTACTAGCTTTTTAAAAGTTACTTTCCCCTTTATCATGTCTCAACCTAGAAGATACCCACTATAATATTGAGTAAAATGTAATGCATGTACATTGCTTAAGTTCAGACAATTAAGATATTGGTAGTAGTGGGCCCGGTGCGGTGGCGCAAGTGGTTAAAGGTCCTCGCTTTGCACGCCCGGGATCCCATATGGGCGCCGGTTCTAATCCCGGCAGCCCCGCTTCCCTTCCAGCTCCCTGCCTGTGGCCCGGGAAAGCAGTCGAGGACGGCCCAAAGCTTTGGGACCCTGCACCCGCATGGGAGACCTGGAAGAGGCTCCTGGCTTCGGATCGGCATAGTATTGGCCTGTTGCGCTCACTTGGGGAGTGAATCATCGGACGGAAGATCTTCCTCTCTGTCTCTCCTCTCTGTATATCCGCCTTTCCAAAAATAATAAAAATAAATCTTAAAAAAAAAAGATATTGGTAGTCAAATAGTTTCTGCAATGGAAATAATAAAATTGTTTTGATAATGCTCCATACTAAATTCATCCATTGCATGGAAAATCAAGTCACAATTTATTTATTGTAAAGTGTACTGTGCTTGACTCCATGAATTCTAATAATTGACAAAAAGAGAAAACTGACCCAGGATTACTTCTCAAACTTCCTAAGCAAGTTGTGACTCGGAACTCCTAACACCCAGAGGATATTGTTTCATGTTACATGACTGGAAATATCCTTAAAGTCATATTTGCACAATGCATTCTTTGCTCTTTTTAAAAATATAATTAGGCTGGTGTTATGTCACAGCAAGTTAAGTCATCACCTGCAATGCCAAGCATCCCACATCAGAGCACTAATGCAAATTCCAACTACTTTGCTCTTTGGTCCCCCATTAACTCAACTGGGAAAGCAATGAAATGGAAGATGGTACACAAGTGTGGGCCTCTGCTACTCAAGTGGAAGACCATGCTGGAGTTCCTGGCTTCTAGCTTCAACCTTGCCCAGCCCCACGTATGTGACCATCTGCAGATGAAATCTCTGGATGGATGTCTCCTTCTCTCTCACTTTCTCAAAATGTTTATGATGTAGCTGAAAACTAGGGAGAGAAATTGAGCCTTTTAGTGCATGATCCACTTCAATGTAAGGAAGGCTAACACTAATTGCTAAAATACTGAACTCATTTTCAGTTTTATCTGTATGTATCTACTACAAATTCAAGATAACTTGAGAAATTTCATGGGAAATGGAATTACAAAGTAAGTTTAACCTGGTGAAAAAACTTGAAAGGCATGCTTCATATTATACAATTTCCATTTACTTTCAAATGTGCATGGATCTCAACTTTTTGTACCAAAATAAACTTATTTCGAACTCTGATTTTTCACACCACTCCCCATGGTTGCAATGGCTGGGGTCTGGGCCAGGAGAAGCCAGGAGTCAGAAGTTTCATCTGTTTCTCCCACATTGGTACAGGACTCAAGTACTTGGGTCATCTTATGCTGCTTTCTCAGGTGCAGTAGCAGGAAGCTGTATTGCAAGTGAAACAGCTGGGAGTCACACGGGTACCTATGTGTGATGCCAACCTTCATGTGGAGACTTAACATTATGCCACGATGTCAGTCCCAACTGATAAGAATATTGTCAGAGATTTTACTGTATTTTACAATAGAGTAACTAATTTATATATAATTAGCTAGCTAACTTATTTCTTTCGATGGCTTTTGATATCTGGAAGAATTAATTAGAAGCAATCATTCTGCAGAAAGCTTAAAAACAAAATCCCAGAACCAATGCATAATTCCCTGAGTTCACTGAACTGAGACTCCCAACCACACAGGGGTTTTTAAAAAGCAAATCCATAGAATTGTTTCAAAAATCTGGCAAAAAATATTGTGAACCCAGAATCCTGTCCAACTATGAAACAAATAACAGGTAAAGGCAAAATATTTTACTTTGCAGAAAAGCTAAAACTCCTCTGTACCTTTTCTGAAACAACAGGGTAAAAGATAACATTTTTTTAAAATGAAAATTAAAATAGGACAGTGTTGATACATGTAGAATACAGTGCAAGTAATCCGGAGGAAAAATCGAAACACAACCCAGCCACTTTAGAAAAGAAGGTCAGCTGGTCTCAGGAACATTATCAAAATATAACAGTGGTGTGTACACTAACTAATAACATTCCTGAGGAGTTAGTTGTTAAATAACATGATGAAATGGTATGTCTTCTTTCAGTAAGACTAAAATGAAAAACAGTAAGAACTTTCACAGGAAACAAAAAAAACGGCACCCAGGACACAAATATGAGCCAAAACAAAATACAAATATAAAATTAATTTTGAGCAAGGACATAGGAACACTTTTCCTAGAATATGCATTCTTCAGAAAAAGAAATATAATCTTAGTCCCATAAGAATATATTCTTGATCATGTAAATATTCAATTAGTTTTTAATTTTACAACCATCCATTAGAAAAAACCCAGCAGTCTTAAGTAGCAAATTAGAATACAATGTGAATGTCATTAAATATGACAATATAAAAATAAAATTGCAACTTACAGAAAATGGCAGTAAGGACAAGGTGGAAGGCATTCAAGATGGCTAACATCCTCATACAGTGTCTAAGATGATTAGACCACAGAACAAAGAAAACTGAGGGGTTGTTTAAAAAGTTAATGTGCTATGTAAATTATGGAAAAAAAATCTATGAATTTAAAAATCTTTTACACCGAAACAAACCTAAATGTATTTCAGCCTTAAAAACATATATTTGAGAGAGGGAAAGTGAGTGAAAGAAGAGCTCTCCCATCTGCTGGCTCACTGCCTAAATTC